TATACGTTGCCCAGGGTGCACCACGTGGATTTAAGTCTATCGCACACCCCTCTTTTTTCTTAAAATAAATAAATATAAAATAATTAAGAAATGACTTATATGCGTTAGAAGGACAGAAAGATGGAAGTGGAAGAAGTAGAAGTGGCTACAAGGCAGTAGAAGAAGGCACTCACTTTGCAATAGTGGAAACTTTTTCATAAGCAGTATCGCACCTCTGCTGTGTACATCATCTCGAAGTCTGGCTTTAGGCCCTTGTCGGACTGTATGCTGACAAATACTATTCTACCGGGGTGTAAACGACTTTATCTATTTCCTAAAAAAGCAACATGCTTGCTAACTTTGTTGATATGTTTATTGTGCCGATTTATTACGTTCAGAATTGAACTCTAATTGTAAGGGTAAGAAATAAATAATTCTCGTTAAGTTTTGACTTGTTAATCTCTCTATTTGCATTTCGCTTTAACAGTCATCGTCGAATACTGGACCTGCCGGTGAATCAACACCATCTTCACTGAGTATGAGGCGAACTTCTAGCCAATCGTCTTTGGTGGCGCGCACCGAGGAACTCTTTAATCAATACTTTGCTCCACCCTCACCCCTCTCCTCGCCACCAAAACGGAATTCAAGATCTCCCTCTTAATAGCAGTGATTGGATGACCATTTCTTCTCTCCCTCGTCGATCTCACTCCAATCAAATGTCTGCGTGTGTGTTTGTAAATATAGCAAACCTGTGCTAATAGGGCTCTTGTCGTCTTTTATGGTGTACTGATCTCTCTAGGAATAAAGACCAAGTTGATCCTAGCGAGAGCATGTTTTGACCAGGCGACGATTTGGTTTATTGAACGAACGTTTTCAATGCATTTGTTTGGAAAGCGAGATAGATTCAATCATACTCCGGTAGCATATCTCAGATCTGGGTAAACCAAGCAATATGTCTTCAAATTATTGAATAAATTTCAACTTTAGTCTAGTTAAAGCAGTGGGTAGTTTGGAATTGATTTTGGTTTAAATTATGAGTTAAATGCTACTCTTTCTGGTGTGGAGTTCATTCGAGTGAACAGGAATTTAAGTGTTAACAATGGAAATATGGTATGCCTCGGAGTGCATCCGATCGGCGAAACGGGCTTATTTGAGAGTTAGTGTCCGAATGTCTCACAGGGGGGGGGCCTCTGTAGTACTAACCCCCAACCCAATGTGAGAGTGCGCAAAAGTTTTAAGAAATGAAAGCTAAAATATCGGGATATCATTCTAAGTTTTAATATTCATCACAAGATTCAGAAGATTATCTTGAAAAATTCACAATGATCTCCTTGGACATGTCTCCATACCATTGCACAAGTGATTGAGGTCACCTGATCTTTGTCAGTACATGAGTTTTCCAGTTAATTTGATAGGGATGTGAGTGATGCAATTTTTAGGGTTATAATTTGTCTAAAATTATTAAATATTGAAATTTGTGCATGACCGGAGTACTAGCATCGTACTCCTCTTCTTATGTGCCCATATGCACATCGATTGTCAACTTCCATTCACCTCTTCCTTATTAATACTCATTTCAACTTTCGACTACACACGTTGTCTGGCTACAGACGTCCGGCCCTCACACTACCTTCCAGTATGCCCCAATCTTTGTCCCATTTTGCTTTCTCCATTTTAC